TCTCTCATCTTTGAGACAACAGAGATTTCCCTAAACACAATATTCAACACAAAACACTGGCTTGGGTCAGATAACATTTTCTTAAAACTCCATTCAGTAAGCATCTTGTCCCACTCTATCCATGTGGTACACAAAATTGCTATACTGGCAGATAAAAACAAAAGGCCATAATTTAAGAGCATATTTTACCAGAGGCCTAAGCTTGCATCCGTCTTGTCAGAAGAAAAAAGAGCCAGTTACAAGAAAAGCCTTCAATTTTACTTACACAGACCACAGTTTCTAAGCTAGGCATGCTCAGTTAGACAATAATAGACTTCACTGAAAACAAGACCACCTAAAAACAAGGGTTTTTTTGTTTGTTTGTCTGTTTTGTTTGTTTGTTTTTTACTCTCGGGGCAGATAACTGCTCTTTTCAGAAGTTCATGGTCACCCTAGTTATTTTGCAAATACTGGGGGCTTCAGACTGGCGCTTACCCACAGCCCAGTCTTCCCCAGCACATTCACGTGACTTTCACTTTGACAGCTGAGTCTTTGCAATCTTACCATAACAGACACCTCAATATTTCGTACTTACCCATCATTCCTTTATTCAGCTGCTAATAAAGAGACCTTCTTTGTTATTAGAAATACTGTCTCATAACATCACTTCATCCTTGATAACTATGCGCAAATTCCCGTTGTTCTAGACATAAAATGAAGTCCAGTTCTCCCATGCCTCATATTTCCCTCAGCCTTGCAGCTGGAGTGAAGCCTACAGTCCAAGTGACAACACCCATCCTACCTCTGGGCCACTACAGAGCTACTCTCAGCAGGCGATGTTATTACTATTACTAGATGCTACTCTTGCATTTAAAGCACCGTCGCAGCTAACCTCTTCAGACCTACTTATATGATTCAAGACAACAAATGATTGATTAGTATTATAAAAGAAAAAAGACAAGTTTACATGCATAAAAATGCACAGTACTGCACCCAACGTCCTAAGCCAAATTGAACTTTTTTTTAATAAGTGAAACAAAGTTAAAATTCGCAAACTCTTTTCTTCCCTTAGAAATGTTAGTTACAAGAATTTAGGTCTACTGAAACAGACTATTATGTAATTCTCTTAATCCTGCAGTATCTTAAAATATCTTACTGTACTATCACACCAAGTGCAGGCACACAGTGGGCATCAGATGTTTTTCTTTCTGAAAAATCAAGGAGTGGTGAGATGTTCCTTTTTATATAATCTCTCTTCTCTTGAAACAAGCTGTTCTTTTTCTTGCATTGTAGAAAAATAAATGTATTTGTTTCATTCAAATTCCTATATATCTCTTGCTTTTCAAGATGACTACAAAAGCATATTTCCAAACAAATGTATCCTGCAACTTAAATGATATACATATCTATGTGTGAGCGCACACAAAGTTCAGGTGAGGACTAATGGAAGAAATAATACTTAGGTCACCTTCTTTTTAATTACATCAGTGGCTTTCCTGCAGCTTCAGAGGCTTATAGATTTTTTAAAAAATTAGTAATCCTGATCAAGTGCAGCCATATGGTAACACAGTTCTTGAAAAATACATTTTTCAAAGGAGCAAGAAAGCTTCCTTCAGCTTTCCTGAATATGCACCTCATCTCAACTCCTTGCATTGCTCCAATTCCACATCAAGATAACTGTGCACCTCTTCTTAAGAGCTATCTAGATCATGAAAACAGAGTACATACATAGACGTGTACTGCAACTAACAACTTCATGCACAGAGTAATTACAGGGTTTAACTATCAAGATGTGATTTCTCAGTCACATTTTTGTTGCTGGTTTTTGTTTTAAACTCTGCCTCTTATTCTATAATTTGTGTTGCAATGGGTAGTTCCTCCAGCCTCAGGTCAGAGTGATCTTCCCAGCAGCTGAGTTGCTCCTGTCTCCCTTTCAGGAGCTCATAATATTAATTATTCCTTAGCAGAGCAGAAGTTGCAGTGCCAGAGGGAAAGCAAAATAGGCTTTGAGAGCAGGGCAGTGCTTTCAGTATTTTACAGGCTGCTCACAGGCTAGCTGTCAGCTAGCACAGGTATGCTACATTTTGGCAGGTTACATGCCTGAGCCTCCATACTTTAGAAATGCTGCACTTGCTGAACTTAGTTCCATACTGAGCTGCATAAAACAGCACTGGACAGTATCCCAGTCCTTTATGTCTTAGTCATGCAATTATTTACAGGTTTATATTTGTATGAAACTACACTTGAATTTACATACACTTAACAATATAGATGTTAGTACCCTGTAAATACAGCATTCGATCACTAGTAAAAATATCATTCTGTGAAGTTCCCATGTGGCTTAAATAACAACTGGCTATGCCCTTTATTTCACTAATTAATCTTAGATTCAGACTGTCAAGAATTCTTGAAATTCAGCAAGAGTCAGTTCGCAGTAAGTCCTTTTCTACGCTTAGAATACAAAGTGAACAGACACTGTATTTAATGATGTCTCAAACTAAACTCTTGAGCCAAGGCTGAGGAAATTTTCCTAACAATGAGAACACTGAGCACTGCCTTCCTCATTACACTCTTCCTCATTAGACTTCCTCCAACATCCTTCACAAATATGTTAGAAGTGGAAGTAGTCTTTGCAGCATCACAAGAAAAATGAACACCTACGTTTAAAGGCCAGTTAAACATACAGTGAAGCTTCTCTCAGTCCAGGCCAATGTACAGAAGTAACTTAATCTATAGATAAATCCTATACTCTGATTAATGGGCAATTCAGTCTCTCAGGCTTGAAGAGATTAAATAGTTGTATTAATACAGAAAATAACGTAGGCATAAATCCACCGGGTTTACAGCTACCCTTGAAAAAAGTGTTTGTAAAACCTGTGTCAGTTCTAAGTTAGCTGTTATAATTTTGGCCATCTGTAAGACTGAGTGCAAGCATAAAGAAAAGTAGCTTGATAAACAGGTTACATCAAAAACCGAAGACTATTTATTTTTATCCATCGCTGTGTCAGATTAAAGACTCCTCAGTAAACATCTACCACTTCAGATTACTCATACCATTTCCATCTCAGAAAAAGAAAAAAGAAAACAAGTCAAATGACTTTTTTTAAGCTATTCTGAACTTTTTAAATGCTGAAACCCCTCAAAAATAACCACTGAAATTGCTCATTGATTTTCCAAGGATGTTCTCACCACAACAAATTATACATACCCCCAATATTAAGAACAAGCTTCCAAGGTTTGTGGATAATACAAGAATTTGAAGCAGTGAAAATAAATGACAGTACAAGCATCTTTAACAGAACTTCAATCATTTAAGTGATTGCTCCAACAGATGGCAAAAGCACTTCAGCACACACAATTGCAAAATAATTTGCCTGGAAGCAAGCAACAAAGACAAAGAAAGTGTACTAAGTGGGACAATTATTCAGCACAGTGATTAGGAAAAGGATTTGGGTGCTGAAAGTAGAAAAAGAAATCACTTAAACTATTTGCCTAAGGAAAGTACTAAGAACAAAGACAAAAGTATTTACTAGCAGTATCCCATTCCAAATACGTTATCCTTTGTATTCAAAACGAGGTGCTGCTCAGTTCGCACCTACCGTTCTCTGGTTCAAAAAAAGGAAAGCTGATGTTAGTGTAACAGGAAATATTCTCCCTGCTTTCTTGAAAGAAGTAGTTCTGCTCACTGCCACCTCACTGTCACATGAATTTTCGTGAGCATGTAATCCCTGAGCTGTTATCTGCCTTAAACCTTTTTCCTTTAGGTCAGTTTGCAGCTATGCAAGCGCTGGAACTATCGCAGATGCTGTTACAGGGTTTAAAATAGAAATATTTATTTCTAAAGTTACCAAAAGTGACCAGACAAGAAGGAGGGTTAACATCACTCAACAGTATTTCACGTTATAGTAGTTCACGTGGTACACAGTGTCATGGCACACTGTCCACTCTCTCTGAAGTTTAAAGGCATCATGAAATTATGACGCTTTCCATCCCAATCAAGTATTACGCTTTACTGAACTTGAAGCCTGAGAATCAGTAGGACATTCTACAGGCAAAGATTATGCAGCTTAGAAGAGACTAAACCATTAATTGCCTGGTGCCTCTCCTAACAATGCTGCTTTGGGGATACTGGGTACAACACATCTCACCTACCTTGATTTCAATTTACTTTGACATCATTGATTCATATTTTGATTTGTAGGGCCATTGACTCTCTGTTATCACATTTCTTTCATGCTGTTGTACTTCTAACAAACATACAGCAATTTTTAATTTAGAGCATCACCTTCTATCTCCTGAAGTCAATGCCACAACTTCAAAGATAGTTATAATACTGCACTCTTTAGAAGAGTAAAAATTAGGCTACGTTCCAACAACTTTTTTTTTACAGAAGTTCTTTTCCACATAAGGAATCAAAGTAAGTTGCAAAATCCGGTGAGCTGGCACACAAATTACTGTTTCAAACTTTAGATAAAACACACCTTTAAAACCAACAGCAACTGAAATCCTCTGAAGATCATAACCATATCAGATGAGGATTTGAGAAGGCCATTGAACTGCCTTGTCTACTCAGTAAAGATTTCAACAGGTAAATATAAAATTTTAAAACATTTTCAATTTAATACTCACTTTAGCATTTAAGTGCTTCTGCATATTACCTTGATAAAGCTGACTGAAATACCACCTCTCTGCATTTATTTATCCATTTCTCTCTTAAGGATGAACAGGATCTCAGTTTGCTATGAAAGGCTGTCTATGATGAGAAACCTGGGTCTAAGTCTCCGTAGTATAATTGACTAAAATTAAATATATACTGCTCTAGATAAGATATCTTGCAGATCAAGTTTTACAGTCTTAAACTAATCACATACAAATATTCACACAAAAAGTGCAATAAAGCAGTCATTCATGGTGCGAAACACGAAAAAAGTTGGAATTCTTCAAGCTGACATAAAAGAGACATGGATTAAAATATTATCATTTAAAACAAACTGGCTTAAACGTAAGAAAATGAGGCTTACCAACAACAGTGGCTAAAAACAAAGAGGGACTTGATGGTAATGCAAGCAAATTTCCAGCACCCTTATTCATCTAGCACAAAGCATGACTAATCTTGAAGGCCAGCAGATCCTGCAACAGAACCCCAGAGAAGTACTTTAGTTAAAGTACTGTGAAGAGTATATTGGATTTGAAAAATGAGAGACGCAAAACGGAGTTTGAATTCATTACGTGCAGATTCCTCCATGCTGCAGCATATCTGTCATTCTCAGTGTAACAATCACTTGAGGTCATTTCCTTTTTGTTATTTAAGTGATTCAATGTCAGTTACAAGCCACGTTGTAGCTGGGCACAACTGAAGGTAATGGGCAAGCAGCTAAAGCTTAATCGATCACCTTTTAGCTCTTGTGAATTAGAGGAAATGAGCAACACCTGCTCAATACACATCAAGGCAGAACAGAAAGTCACCAACACAGATGTATTGTTTTACATTTACCAGTTACAACTTGGAGCACAGAAAGGAAATCAAATGTTTTCTTCCTCCAAGTGGTTAAAGGTTTTCTATAGACACTGAAATTTCGATTGAGAACTTTGTTATTATTTATTCCCTAGTATTTCTGGGGAGTCTTGTCAGGAACATTTCTCCAGCCTGCCTTAACTTACTGACAGATTGTCACTGATGTGACAATTCTTCTTTACAGTGAGGGTGACGGAGCACTGGAACAGGCTGCCCAGGGAGGTGGTGGAGTCTCCGTCTCTGGAGATGTTCAAGACCTGCCTGGATGCCTACTTGTGCGACCTGGTGTAGGGAACCTGCTTTGGCAGGGGGGCTGGACTCGATCTCTGGAAGTCCCCTCCAACCCCTACGATTCTGCGATTCTGTGTGGGGTGAACATTACTTGGTTTGGCTTTGTTTTTAAAATCTGGATTTGTTTTTGAGCACCTATACTCACGAATTCTTTAGACAGCTTTGTTATCCTCCTTAACTTTGGCAAACTCTTCCTTTTGCAAGCAATAACAATGAAACCCTCTTTCCCGTTAAAACAAATTAAGGAAAAAAAAGTACTTAAATTACAGAACTGAATTTTCAAGGGACCCTAACAACATTATGCTAATACTTATTGTTATTAATGACGAAAGAAATCAAGCAGCATATTTTTGAACCAGTATACCAATTTAAGCATGCAATCTCATTAGAGCTAAAAGACTGAAAAATTGAGATGAAAGTGAAGGCTGAATTCTAATGCATTCTTATTAAATTCTAACTAACAACCTTAGAATATTTTCCCATCCCTTTCGTTAAGTACTATTTAAAACATTCACTGCAGTTCTCTCCATTCGAGCCTGAGTTTTTAGAGGAAATTCTCTGCCTCTCCTTCAGTAACAGTGATCATCTATCATTTACTAACTTACCAACATGTTTTGTCACTTTTGTGCCCATTTCAGATACTTGGCAATTAGATGTCTATTAACTGCAGTTGTGGTTTACTTTCCTTCTTCAGCACAGCTCTAAAGCTGAAGTATGAACTGAGAAACCCATTCAGCTGTTGTTTTTAAATGCATGCCCATTTTCAAGTAGTTGCAATGTTTTGCAGTCCGACAGTGCAGCTGTTTAATTAAAACCAGATGCAGCTCAAGACCACTGCATCCCCTAAAAATCTGCAAGGCTTTTAAAATATTTTGAACACATGTTGCCCAAAGGAAGCATCTATGTATCAACATATAGACTAGTTCTTACTGGATGATTGTATGAATGTAGGTGGAGTTATGACAGATTTGAACTTTAAAAAAAACAAAGACCATTACAGTGATTTAACTTGCAGCTGAGCCAAATAAGCACATGATTCAGTTCTACCAAGAGGCTGTAAGCTGCAGCAAAATGGGGTCAGCACTCAGCAATGACAGGAACCTCTCAGCTTGGTCTCACAACAAGCCGAGTTGTAAACCAAATCAGCTTTTTGATAGATTCACATATTTAAAACTATAAGCTCTGTTTTCTCTCTATTTCCACAAGACATTCACTTTTGTTCTCCAAGCATCTGGAACTTCAGATGATCTTAGAGGCCCAAGGATTCAACTACACACAGAACTGATTTTTCTAAGCCCCTCTATTGCATTCATATGACCAACTTATTTTACCATTTACTTCTGCAGTTAGGTCAAACACTGAGCATTTTTAGTCTTGTTTTAAAATGAAAAAAGAAAAATTCTCCTAGACCATTATGCAACCTGATGGGTAGCTGAGCTGATCAGTGTCACCCAAAACAACAGAGGGATTCAACGCTCCATGACGCAGTTTTAAATTACTACCAGTTTTCAGCAGCTCTGCTGTAAAAAAATCAGAGATCAGCAGAAAGCTTCTGTGCATTCCACCTCCAAGGTGCTCATGTATGTTGCTCACAACACTAAAGGGGAGAATTTAACGAGGAGTTTTTGGATCGTGCATTGAGGCTTTATCCACTGTCTGATAGTTGTTGCTCAATAATTAAAAGGCAAGAATTGAGCTTTCTCTTTATCACATTTTACCTGTAGAAACTTGCTGATGTGGTTCCTGTGCATTTTACTTCACACCCTAATCCTTTTTCGAAGCTTAAAATTTTAAAACTCCCCATGATATTGAAACAGTGACAGCTGAGGGGATTCGTCTTTGGCTTCTTCTTTCTAAGTTCCCCAGTATGTTTCTTTTCTCCCAGTAAAGGAATTGCATCACTCCCAACTTTTCCATTAAAATACTGAGGGAAGAGCACGAAAAATACTTCAGGGGCCCTTCCCTAGCACAATAGCTGACTATCAAGGTTCTTTTAAGAATGACAGAAAGCCATCTTAACTTCATTTCCTCTGTTTTATGGTAAATTTTGCTGTTAACACTGGTAACACTTCATTAATTTATAGTTAGCATTTACAGCATATCCTCCAGAAAATTAAAGCCAAATCTGGGACACAATATTACATAAAGTCGGTATTGTGATGAAGGACAATACTCCCTAAAACCTCCAGACATTCCTGGTTCCAACTCATTTTTGTGTTGTCAATACTTGTGACCTTGTGCAAAATAAAATTCAGGCATTGACATATGTCAAACCTCAGCTTAACTGACCTATTTGAATTTAAATTAGGAAGAGAATGCCTCTGAGGAGAAATACATCAATACAGTTCGGTAGACAAAGGGCCACAGTGCCTTTCTGGAGTAAATGCACTCATCAGAGAACTGAACCAGAGTAGTTTGCCCCTCAGTGATTTCTGCTTAGAATTAACAATTCAGTTTCAAACTCCCTAATGCCACAAATAAATAAATTCTTCTCTTAATCAGTCACTTTCTAAAGCAGAAAAGTTAATGCATCACTTTTTTTTTTCCGCCCTTTCTGTATGCTTCCTGTTTGTAAAAGGTTTTCCATTTTCACATTAGGACAAACACAGCACCCCTGTTCCAGTTAGCACTGAGGTCACCTGTATATCTTCTCTGACAGCACAACTCACAGCCAAAGGTCAAATGCAGATGGAAAGCTCAGGAACGATAAATAATCCCTTGCAATCCAATTAGAGGGAAAAAGGGAAAAAAAAACCATGTAAATTATTAACTAACTGCAACATTCCACTCAAGTAGCAGATACAGCTGAGTATATAAATCAACACACAGCAAATAAACACAGAAAATAAACACCATAAGAAAGATAAGTTTTTCTTTAAAATGTAATCAAAGCCCACTGCAAACACAGATAAAGGGATGGTTTTCACCAGTTTGCTTTCTTGAAAGGTTCTTGGATTTCTGATACGCTATCAATGAAAGCAAAACAGGTGATGTTTAAATCAAAAATCTTGGGGAAAAAAAGGAGGCTTTGCCTGGATGGTTCAAGTGATATCGAGAGAATGAAAATACATAAAAGTATTAAATACTAGGAACGATTTGTAAGTAAAACGTTCTGCTAACTCATACATTCCCCCCCCCCCCAGTCAATTGAGAAAGGCTTTCAAATTTTCTTCCTAATTTGGGATGAAACTTTTTTACTCATTAAAATGTTAGCTGTACTTGTAAATTAAGAAAGCAACTTGCTTCCCAGGTGTAACAGAAATGGCCAGCTGTGACATACTAAGATATGCTTCAGGTTAAACAACCAGACTAAAGAAAAAAAAAACTGGATCAAGCTTTCCTCCCCTTTGGTCAAAAAGAAACATATCCCTGAGGGTTACCCAAAATGACACAGCGTTACCAGAAGATGTGACTCTTACTTAGGTACTTGAAAAATAAGTCAGATTTATAGTCAATATTAGACTTGCTCTCATAACAGAAAGGAATGAAACAGAAATACTCAAAAAAGACACTAGAGACTTCCCAAAGAAACATAATGAAGTTTGGTGTCTTACTGCAACTGATGGATGGAATGAGAACTGCATGGTCAATGAAGAGAAAAACAACCACTCAAATTCTTACACTTCTCTCTTTGGAAACTATCCTGGATGCTTTAGTAGATTTCAAGATGTTCAGAGTAGAAGTTGCATTTCAGTTGTAACGTATTTAAAAAGAACTATTTCCATTCATCATTAATATTTGCTTAAGTCACATAAAATTGCAGTCTTGAAAAATAACAAATAAAAAATTTGTGTTCAAAATCAACGTTTCTGCCCCCAAGTGAAAAACAAAAACAAAAACATTTATGATTGCCAAATTCAATCTCGTGTTAACATTTCAGTTGATACCCGTGTAAGATATTATTCTGTTAACATCTGTGTCTCAAAGTTTGCTGGGGACACAGGTGGACTTGATCAAGTCCTGAGCAAGGATTGTGAAATCCTTTGTCTGAAGGACACAGATGAACAAGTGCAGGCAAGTCCTGGGCAAAGGTTCTGAGATCCTTTGTCGGGGGGATGCAGATGGACAAGGCCAGGGGCAACGAAAGCGAGATGAGCTGCAGCTAAATGGCTGTGAAGTGCTCCTTTGTGTGGACTTACCTCAGGATGACAGCCATCTCAGGGGGTACTCAATGACTCTTGCTCAAGGCCCATCCTTGTCATGTAGGCAGGAGAACAAGGAGGATGAAAGAGGAACTGAAAACCATGAGGATAGGTTTTCTGACAACAGATTCCTCACCAAGAACGGAGGTTTTCTGGCAGCAGATTCCTCCTGAAGAAGAAGAGGGATTCGTGACGATTGAGGTGATTCCTGCATACTGTCGAACTCTCCTGAGCCTGCTGCCTGACCGCTGCTGCTGCTTCAAGAATTGGCTCCTCGACTTCCTCGTCTACCTGCCTTCTGCCCAAGGCCGGCCACGCTGCTGCTCCCCATCTTCTGCGTCTGCCTGGGACCTTCAAACGCCGTGCAACGGGACCGCTGCTGGATCCTGCTGGTGACTATCCCCGCTTTACGCAACTCCTGCTTCTTTTCCATCTTTTCTATCGCCCTCCTTCCCTTCCCCGTCTCCCTGATTAGGTTTGGTAATAAACTGGATGGAACAACATATGAACCGTTGTTTCTTAATCTCACGCCGGGTATACAGATATTAAAAGAACCTCATCTCCCTCCTATAAATTGGAGCGAGACAACCCGGAATACGTGACCTATGAATAAATCTGGAACTTCTAAAGATGAAGACTACAACTTCATTCCCCAAATGTAAAGTTTCTCAAAAAAAAAAAAAAAAAAAAAAAATTTTTTTTGACTGCCACTCTTCACTGCAAACTCTTTTCAACCTTAGATCTGCCACAGAGAATAAAAGTAATTGGATGTTCTGCTGCCTTATAAGCATAAAATATGCCCAGTAAAAAGGCTTCGGTAATTTAAGAGATGAAATAGATTAATCTGTATGGCATTCTACCTGTCTACAAAAGCAAGTTTAAATAACACAGAACACAAGTAAGAAGCAGAGTTAAGTAATGACTGAAATGCTCACTGATGTGTTTACTGATGGAAAGCATTATGAGAGCTTAAATATCACTAGTATTTACAAATGAAGAGAGTTTATGGAATACCATCGTATGTCCCATCAAACAGCAAACACTGCAATCAGAAAAAAATATTTCCAACAGAATAGTAAATAAAATACAAAAGCTAGATTCAAACATTTTATTTGTGACCTTTCAAGCATCAGTTGTTCGTTAACATTCTGTGCTGTAAGCTGAGGCTAGGCAAATATCCCTTGCTCACAAATATTTAAGTCTGAATGTATTATTACCCAGTAGTTCCATGGTACTATAAGGAACTCACGTTGGGTCATATGGAGGTCAGTTAATAAGTGTGCTCAAAAAACAGTCACACCACCCAAGAAGCACATTGCAGGAAAAGTTGTTGGCTACATTAGTAGCATAGCAAACAGTTTAATATATATTGTCATATATTAATGCGTATTTCATACATTTGGTTGAAATACACATATACCACTCCACATTAAATTTACAGTAATTTAATTAATTATTCTATATTGAAATTCTTGAAAACTTGCTCCATAACATACAATTAGCCACAAAGCACTTCACAAAAATTTTAAATTACAGTTCAGGTTCAAAAAAAAATCAGCTTCATTCATGAACTTCAATAGCACAACTACCATGCTTTTAATATGCTATATCCCAGTCTTGAATTCTCCAACAAACACTCTTTAGGCTCAAAAACAAGCTTTAAGTAACACAACCATAAAAGCTGGCAATATTTGTAATAAGAGGTAAAATCAAATTTCCTTCAAAAATCCCACAGCATTTTCCACAGAAGTGGAGCTGTTAACTCTAATGTCCTGGCCAAAATCCAAGTTGGGTAATTATGCTCTCACACCAGAATTTCCCTTACAGCAATTCATTTTCACCACCTGTCCTAAAACAGTGAGAGCAATTTTAAGTGAACTCTGATCTTGATTCTATACAGCTGATGTAAAGGTCAAGCTGATGTGAATTTGGAAATTTCATGGGAGGACTTTTTTGAGATCAGCAAAAATTTCTCAAGTTCCACAGGTTTCCTCAAAATAAGTTACCTCAACAGACAAGGGCATGAGCTTCATCCTTAAGCCAAAGTAGGCTGGAGCTAGGAAGGCTTCAGCATGAGCCTCAGGTCTCCAAGGCAATCAGGTGTGAAGCAGCATCCAGCAGACTGCTTTGGAGAAAACAAAACTGTGAGATGCCTAAGACTAATTATTGCAAAAAACTGATCAAACAACTTCAGTAAAGCCAACATATAAAGATGAAATACACGTAAGACTGTCTCCACCTAACCAGTACAAAAATTCTGGCAGCGCACTGTCCATTCAAAATGGCTTAGCGCTCACTAAGTTTGCTTGGATTGTGTGGTAGCAATCTTCCCTAATAGGCAACCAGGCATTTGGGAGAAGATGAGGGTCTCGCTCTTGCTCCATTGCCCTCCATGCAGTTTTGCTTACACACAATCCAATTCAAGCCTGCTGCTTAGAAATCCTAGTTTTTGACTTGCCACTAATCAGCATAATCAGGATATGGCCTCATTAAGCTGTTGCATTTTGTGTCAGAGCCGTCTGCAGATTAATTGTGTGTCAAACAAGGTGAGGTTTCTAAGGAACTATAACTTCTGTTAAATTAGTTGATCCAATTAAAAAATACTCATGCTTCTGAGAGCAACTCGGGTTAATTCATTCTTCAGTACAGATCACAACGTTTTCATATCTATCTAAACATGCAATCTCTATGGAAAAGCAAATGGTGTACGAGCTGGCCTAGTTTTGTTATTGCACTGAGGCTGTCTCATCCAAATTGTTCATTCAAAGAAATTATTTCTTTCAAGGGTATTCTGGTTGCCAACTGATAATCTACATTTTTCAGATGGTATTACACTTCTAAACTCAGCGTATTCCTGGAAAAAAAAAATATATAGCTCTACACTCTAGCTTACACTTTAAAGGTAAAATCCACACAGCCATATTTTGATTGCAAGGTAGCTATTAAATTTGTGATGAAAACCAAGAGCAGACATCAGATTTACATTCTGATTGTAGAGGATAAATGTAAAGATTTGTCTTAAGTTCAGGTCTGAAGATATGCTTGTAGCTGAAAATGTACCTGTAGTTCAAATGAGTAATAAGCCCCTCTGTAGGACATTGCAGCTCATAGAGTGCTTTCTAATACTTAGTACTCTCTGCTAACTTATTGCCTGATCTTCCTATAGCTCCTTCTATATTTGTTCTTCAGTTTTTGTTTTGACTCCTTCAGTATTGCATGCAGTTCTGACAGTTCTCTGCTTGTTTCTCAGACACACATCTACACAACAGCAATACATTCTCTAGCACATATAATACCCGGCATCACAATTCATCATTCTTTACATTTTAAGTGGCACACTTGTAAGTAGAAAGCCATTTCTGGTGGCTAAGATTTATTTCCAAGGAAATAAACTGAATTGCCAGTCGCTTGGACAGGCCTATTTTATTTAGTAATAGCGCCGTTATCCATATCAACCACATCACCTTGACCCATTTGTTTGTGAACTTGCACAGATGATTAATGGTGACTTACTGTACCATCTTTACCCGCGTAACTACTGAATGCATTATTTACTACAGTTCTCACTGTGATGCTTATCTGTGAGATTGGACTTTTGGCTCTATGTTCTTTGAAACGTTTTAATTTAATGGTCAAAGATAAAAGAGAACTAAGAATACTATGAACTCATAAAGATGTAAGTAGTAATTTTCCTTTTCTCCGAGAAAATCCTCAGCCCTAAATCCCTCACATGCCATTACCAAAAGTAAGCAAAAAAGCACACATGTTCTATCCTGTGGAAAGATACACATAAGCAATACGGTACTCATCACATACATAGAGATACCTTATGCAGTCCTAAACAGCATCTACCATGCACACATGCATAAATCACTCACATGCATGCTCATTTTAGTTTATTTTGAAGCTATTCCCTTAAATCCCATGAAGAATTGAATTAAGCCTTTATAGAAGCTTGCAAGCAACATAACAAAACTAAGGAAAAGCAAGATGGTAGGCTTTGAACATAACTGGAAGCTCTATTAGATGAAAATGAATGACAGTGAAGAGTATAAATGACATGGACTAATCAGCTCAGAAGGTTACCACTCTATATTCACTTAATTAGGTAAAGACAGAACTTCATTATTTAATAACATAGCCACTAGATGACACACCTCTCACTGGCCTAAATCCTAATTATATAAGATTTTTGTTCATAATGAGACAACTCCTTCCCCAAAGTCACAAGTCTTCAATTAGAGGCTCCTGAAGAAGCGAAGAACACTAGAAGACAGCTCTGAAATAATTTGTGCAAAGAATTTGCTATAAATGATTCTGCTTTGAATCCTAGTAATTGGAAAGCTTTCTTATGGTTGGCAGGTTCTGACAGACTCATGCAAAAATGTAAAAAAAAGAAAAAAGGGGGAAAAAAAAGGCAAGTAGTAAAGAACAGCCTGGCTTAGAGTTCAGTGACAAATGAGCCTCTAAAGCATTCTAAGTACAACAACACAATTTGAGTTTCTTCTACCCACCTCTCAAAGCCTGTAATGCTTCTTGATTAAGTAATGTAGCTGAGGAACAGACTTAGCTGTTTCTTGATATACTTTCTCCCTAGTTTCTCCTGGTCAGAATGCATACAACACAGAATCAAAGAATGCATTTATAACCACTTCTTATAAACAAGTCACAGAAAAAAAAAACCTGATTTGAGCATATCACTGCACTTCATACTTAAATCTTGTTAATGAAGGTGAGGCTTTAATCCACAATAAAACACTTTTAGAATATAAAATTATATGTAAACATTTGTGGGGCTTCATGCTGTCTTTCCACCCAGAAATCCTTAACTTAAAACCTGCACATTTTAACAGGCCAAAGCAAGAAGTAAAAGGCAATAGAAGTGGACTGCCCAGAGTTGTGATTGATGCCTCATCCCTGAAGACTTTCAAGGCAAGGCTGGACAACCTGACACTATGGCATCCTTTTTCGATGCAGAGGAGTTGGACTAGGTGACCTTTAAACGCCCCTTCCAACTGTAAAGATTCTATGATTATACAAAATAGATAACCTGTCAATAATCTTCTGCAACCACACAAAGGACTGTTCTAGTGACCCATTAAGGCCAACTGGCTGAAATAGTTCAATATAATATGCACAAGCCACTTTCAATCCTGAGACTGGCATATAGCTCTTCCCTGTTCTGACACAGCTCATACAGCAGGTGTTTAAGTGGTTCCTCCCCCCACACTTTTTTTTTTTTTAAGCCTCCAATATACAGTGGAATTTTTTATTTCAGCTGTGTTTGCATCATTAGCTTGCTGGCAATCATATAAGCCTAAATTATCCAGGCAAGCAGTTTCATTTATTGAGACCTCTTGCCGGAAAAGAGCAGCAATCAAATCAGTCAGCCCAAATTATCCTTGACATTAACAAAGGGCTCTAGGATCATTGTAAGAGATGACTTTCTTCCATTACCAAGCTGATTACGTTGTAGCTGGTCTGCAGCATCACAGCATAAGACCTCTTTAAAATAAAAATGTTTATAAGAGCATGTAATTTTCATTGCAACTGTTTGTTACATCCAGTGTTTTATTAAAGAATTCTAAATATACATCATGTGTGTATGTCTAAGTGCATATGCATGTATATAAAGCTGTAACAGCTTGTGCTTTCCTCAGCTACACAGTACCAAAGTTTCATAAAAGTAAAAGAAAAGACTCTAGACTTTAATTTAAGGATTTTCTTTTTTGTGCTCAAGGGCCCAATGGCCACTGCTGTTCCTGAAGCAGTTAGATACCAGGTCCTGCATTCAAAGCTCCTTTAACAGTATTAATTTTGTCTATGAAATGAAAACACAATTAAGTATTACCAAAAAATTGTAAAGGAAACGTTTGAAAATTATTCCAGCTCCAAAAAAGCAGAAAGCACAGAAGCCAAAACTATCAGATGGATAAGAAGAAAAAAAAAAGAAAAAAGACTAGAAGAAAATATATTCAAGCTTCAAAAAGAATATTAAAAAAAAACAACTCTACTGGGACTTAAAATGTATTTAAAAGTTAAAAAAAAAAAAAAAAAAAAAAAGGCTAGTGAAAGCAGTCCATAAAATAATGGATGCATTTTTTCCCCCCTCTGGATATACATAATGAGCTAAGAGAAAAAAAGCTTTGTAGCTATGGAATATCACTTCTGGTTCAAGGTCCACAACATCCGTTTGTCAGGCACAATACACTGTGTAAAATAATATGGTCACACTGCAATCAAATTTATCCAGAAAAAATCTCAACTGTACTTGGCTATCCATGGTGCATACTGGTGAAATCTGAAGTTGAATTAGAATTCCTAAGCTTTTTCAAGCTCAAAACTTATACGTATCTCAGATTGCATTATGGCTTTCAAAACCACAGCAGTAGTGAAGCCTGGCACTGATTTTTGACAGTCCTGACCTGCATTCACTACACAAGTTGTCTTTATACCCAATAGTGTGAAATTAATTATTGCTTATTTCCCTGTTGCAAGCCATTAACCACATTCTCCTATGTAAATATTCAGGCATAATATGCCAACAGTACTCACATCTTTGTTTTAGGAGAAGGAACGGCAAACGCGTGCTATGTCTGGACAGATGGAGGAGTAGCCTAACAAGGTTCAAATGTACTACAGATATAAAAATCTGTACAGCTAGATTAGATGAATTGTCTTGATTCCAAGACCCAGACTTTTATCTCATGATTATCACCACAAACCACTGCCCTGCTAGGTGGAAATCTTGCTATGATACAGCTGACTTTCTACTGCAGTTTGACCAACACCTATCTAAATTGTTCTAGGCCCCAAGTGGAATTAGGAAGCACTATAATGGTAACGTTGTCTTCATAGACAAGCAATAACCAGACTCTGTCCTCAGAATTGAGTTGAAATTAATAACAGACCATAAGCTCAGAAAGATGTGGCAGTTTGCCAGAGGATACAGAGCATGTGTGCACAGAACTGCTGGTACCAGCTTTCAGAATCCTAGCCAGTGATGCAGCCAGGAAAGAGCACACTAACAAACCATTAGGCAATTCTGCTTAAATCTCTGATCTATTGCTTATCAACTGGTTAAGAAACAGACTATGGCCAGCTCTGTTTTAGCATAAACGAAGA